AGTGCCCGTGGTCCATGTGCTGCCGGATGAGCGTGTGCGGGGCCACCGTGCCGTACTTGTCCACCTCGGGCATGTTCATGTCGTCGATGAAGTAGATCAGCTTCTTCGTGCCCGGCGGCCCGTAGTTCCTCCCTGACTTCTTCTCCAGCGGCTTCTCCAGAACCCCTAGGGATGGACGGGAGCAAGCGGATTGGCCGCCGGATGCTGGGGCCCAGGAAGTGGCCCTGGAGGGGCCCCATCCACCCACCCCACCCACCGCCGGGTGAAGGAGGGAGTGTGGGAGTGGTGGGTGCAGTGGGCGGGAGACAAGGGCTGCAGGAACCTAGGGGCCCCCTCAGCCCCGTGGCAGGAGCTCCCTGTGGGATCCGCCTGGGGGCACCGGGAAGAGGGATCCTGGCTGCCGCTCTGTCTCCCTACTCTGGGGAGAGAGGCCAGTGGGGGGATGGGAAACGGAGAGGCAACGGGCAAGCCCCTGGGTCTGTAGGGAGAAAGAAGAGACATGTGTGTTCGGGGGGCAGCCATGTGGCTTGGGTGTGTCCAGGCTGGGCTGTGAGGACCCACCCTGGTCCTTGACTTCACCATGCACCCCTGCTCCTGGCTCCATCCTGTGCCCCAGCCTCACCTTGCACCCGGGCCTCACCTGGCACCCCGGCCTCACCCCGGGCTCAGCCGGCACCATGGCCTCACCTTGCACCCCAGCCTCACCCCGGGATCAGCTGGCACCCTGGCCTCACCTTGCACCCCAGCCTCACCCCGGGCTCACCTGGCACCATGGCCTCACCCTGCACCCTGGCCTCACCCCGCACCCCGGCCTCACCTTGCACCCCGGCCTCACCCCAGGCTCACCCAGCACCCTGGCCTCATCTTGCACCTGGGCCTCACCCTGCACCCCAGCCTCACCCTGCACCCCGGCCTCACCCTGCACCCCGGCCTCACCCTGCAGCATGGCCGAGGTGGTGTAGAAGTTGAAGGGCACGGACTGCACCAGGTAGTCGTCGGTGTTGAGGCTCTCCAGCTTGTCTCCCATCAGCACCGACTTGCCCGTCCCCGCGTTGCCCACCAGCATCACGGGCCACGACTTCTCCATGAGCAGGTCTATGAAGTAGCGGATGCGGATGGTTTCCGTCGTGTGCACCAGCGAGGCCTGCGTGAGGGGGCAGAAGGCGGGACGGGAGGGAGGAGCCGTGATCCTCAGACACACCTGAGCCTCCAGTGTCCACCTCCGGCCAACTTGTGGACTGGAACAGTCGGTCGAGTCCCCAGTTTTACTTAAAATGTTCCACCTGCTGCAAACCGCCTGCGCGTCCCACTGACGAGCGCAGGCTGGTCGCCGGGTCCTGCCCCTAAACTATCAGCGAGTCGCCTCCGCTCTGGGCCAGTTACCTGCAGGGGGATGTCGGGGTCCAGCTCGAAGGAGGGCACTCTGTCTGTCCAGGGCAGGAACTTCTTAGTGTCGGGGTCTAAGTAGTAGTCGAAGACCGTACCCTGAGAGGGAAACTTGATGGTTTTGAATTCGTTGATCCACCATTTGCTGAACTCGACTCGATAATCTATCAGCTGTGAAAAAACAACACCACCCAGCGCGGTGAAGAGGGGCGCGGGGAGCCCCGGGCGGAGCGGCCGGTCCCCGCGCACGCTCGCGGCCGCGCACCTGGTCCTGGAACATGGCCCCGCCGAAGGCCCAGAAGCAGGCGAACACGAAGTAGAGCTCGTACAGCTCCTTGGGCGAGTCGGGCGGCACGGTCTTCTCCGTGAGGAGGCACTCGAGCAGGTACAGGATCATCTGGATGACCGTGATCTCCGGCACCGGCGTGATCTTCTTGAACCCGAAGCGTAGCTTGTCCAGGCACATGGGCAGGTACTTGTCGAAGAGGATCATCAGGTTGGCCTTCTCCGACTGCACCTTGCGCCTCTCGATCCAGCTGCTCACCACCCTGGGGAGACAGGCGGGGGGGAGGGGCCGGGTGAGGGCCGCCCGCCCGCCGTGCGGGGTCCTGCCGGCCGCTCTCCCCG